CCCCAAAACCCCAAAACCCCAAAACCCCAAAACCCCATAGATTTTAAATTAATTGAAAATTTAAAATGAATTTACGTTATGAACATTCTTCTGAGTCCTCAATCCATCCTAGCAAAGATGGAGAGGAGATGGCTGTGAGTAGAAAAAGGATTCTTGAAGAAGGAACCATAACAAATAGAGCCTCAAAGTTACTCTTCTCTGAACCCTCTTCTGAAGTTGAGATAATCGAAATGGAAGTCAGAACTTCTGAGTTTTCTAATGATTGTTTCCTAGAAATCGGATGCAGTGACAGGGAGAAATCTTCAGAGTCAGTCCTAGTTCCTCCTTCAGATGATCAGCGTGCTAATAAGGTTAAAGAAGCTAGAATTCATGTAGATGCTACTCAAAGTAAAGCTGTTTTCAGTAAACCTGGGCTTCTTCTTGGAAAACATGATCCAAATGTGGAGTTTTCTCCAAGAGGAATCACTCCCCCAATGTCCGCGAATCAAGGTATTAATAAAGAGAAAATATACAAACAAATGGAACTTCCTTCAAGAGCAAATAGAGAGGAGAGCAAAGAAGGCTCTGAGCTTAACATTCAAAATAAACAAGCTATTGAAATGCTGCCTTCTCAGAACCATTTGTCTAAGGAAATTTCGGATGAAATAATGCTAACTGATCGTGATCAAGCCTCTCAAAATATCAGTAAAGACCAACAATCAACTTCTCCTAAAAATGGTTTGATTCACAGCTGGGGAAAGCCAAATGTGGTCAAGCATAATAGAAAGTCAAGTCAACACTGTAAGAGATCTAGTTCATCGAGAATAAAAGAAAACCAACCCAATCGGAAGACAAGTCATCCGATCAAGGAGTCTACTCGTTTTAGCAAAAAGTCCAATGAATCTAGCAGGATTATAAACCAAAATCAGTCACAAGGTAAACATTCTATTATACTATAGACTGAAAAGATTTCAACGAAGACACATTCAACGACAAAAATCAACAAAATACAAGCCCAAAAGAGCAGAAAATGGTAATGCATCATCAGGATCCAGAGAATTTTCAAGAGCGTCAGACCCCAAAGAAGAACACTATGTTTAAGTCCAATGGAGAGTCAGAGATAGGTAAGATAAGGATTTTCTAACTCTATCAGACCTCAGATATATGACTAATCCTCATTTATCGCAACAGAATAACTCCAGCATGGAGCTTGTCAATGATACTTGAAATTTCCAGTCAAGACAAATGTACAAGACACAGCCAACGTATATGGAAGACATCCAATCGGACCACATGTTGATATCCCAGCTGAGTGAGGCCCATCAGACTATCTCTGAGCAAGACTCACTCATAATGACTTTAAGAATTGATAACAAGAAGCTTAAGGACCTTCTCTCACAAAAAGATGAGAAATTAAAATCAGTTCAGAGCATGAAGATGAGTGAAGCTAATGAGATGAACAAGTTCTATCTAGATAGGCTTAAAGCTGATCGGATTGCCAACTCTAACGATACCCCAAGGATTCAGAACGAGAACCAGATGATCAGAGAACAAATTAAAGTACTCCTTGATGAAGCCAAGGATAGGAATCATGACATTAATCGTCTTAAAAAGTTAATAAATATGTACGAGCTTCAAAAAGAAGATTTTGAGCATAAACTTACTCTCATGAGGAACAAGGAAATCAGACTTGAAGCAGAAATAGAACAAATTTCGGAAAGATATAAAATAGAAGAGTCTAAAAATAGGCAGCTTAAGATGGAATATGATGAACTGAAATTTCAAATCCAAAGGCAAATGATATTCAAAGACATAAAGTGCTCTAGCTACAAGCCTCAATGAGATCTATACACCATCTCTGAAGACTTCCAGCATCGGGACACCTACAAGCCGCCTAGTTACAAAACCTTAATCCCTGAAAATCCTGCTGCAACTACATTTCACACCCCATATCCAAGTGGAGCTCATAATCCTGCTAGAAAAACAGAGCAGAGTTCTTTCAGCGATACGTTATACAGGAAAAATGACTTAAACTCAAATATTCAGAATTTTCAAAGGTAAATTCTCTTCTAGAAAACCCATGGGCTAAATAGAGCCCATCAAGCTTAGGCCTGAACGGAGGATTGAGCTTTGTTCAAGGCAAATAGAGTTTGGCAAAATTTTGATTTAGTAATTGTAGTGAAGATTTAGGAATAGTTTTAAATTGGGAGATTTAAAGAGAAATTGCGGTTTTAGTCAATGAGGCACTGACTGGAGTGGCTGAAGGGAGATAGCGGGGCTATTTGTGTATATGTGCTGTGTGGTATTGAGTTGGAGTTTGTATATTGTCTGCTTAGTAGATAAGAGAGCTTTGGATTAGAGTTTATTCTTAGAATATGGTTAAAATGGTTTCGTTTTAAATTTTATAGGAAAAATATGAAATCATCTGTTGGAGATCTCTTGAGATGGGAAGATCCTAAGGATAGTCACCAACACCCTTCAAGTATTCCAAACCCCATACATTCCAAAGCTAGAAGTATCAGCTCACCCCCAGTCAGAAACCGGATAAAAGCCGAACCCGAAGCATACTAATTAAAAATTTCCAACTCTCAATCAACCTTCCAAAATTCGGGGTTTTGGGGTTTTGGGGTTTTGGGGTTTTGGGGTTTTGGGG